TGTGTGTGTGCACATACATATACATGCACACACATTTCCCACATACATGTACAAAGTTTGTCCAAGAAGTACGGGATACCCCATTTTGTGATTTAATCAACAAAAACTGATCAAAACATGAAAAAAGCCAGAAGGGTGGGGAATGTTAATTATGTTGGAATTTTTTTTGTTTTTTGTATATGTCATTCATATAGTTATGTGTTTCACTAATAACATTGCGAAAAAAATGAGTGGTTATTTTAACAAGACATAGTTTTTTAAAGCATTTTACTTGATTAAAATTGAACCTCAGTTTATAAAAACATTGAAAAAGATACGTCACCATTTTCATTTCATGGAGATAAAATGTTCATGAATGATAAATGGAATCTTTATGCATGTGTGTGCATGTGTTTTGTACACAATTGCATACTATGTTGCTATAGAGTTTAATATTAAAAACAAACAAACAAACAAACAAAACTAGAAGCATCCAGCAGAGAACTAGAATTAGTGCTAATATGCATAATACACTTTTGAAGTTAAAATTGTTATCTTTTTTAAGAGGCTGATTGTGTAATCTGAACGAAGTCCTCTTTTATAGATAATTTCTTTACTTTTTTAATTCATAATTCTTAAATTAATTCTCTTCCATTCCATTTTTATTTTTAGAAAAAGTAAATTTTTAAGAGTTTGATTCATTTAAATCAGTTCCATCGTTAAAAAATGAAAGAAAGAAACTGCTTATAAATTTTTTTTTTTTTATAATTATTTTCCAAAATGAGTGCCATACTTGATTCAAGAGATTGTAAAAAAAACTTTTCCTCAGGTATCTTCTGATTTTACCAATGACTAGTTATGAAATAACGATATTTATTTTTATATTTCAAGAACAATATTAGAGAGAATGTATGACAAAGTGGAAAAAGTTTTCTTGCGACACACTTTGTCATTTCGAATTTCATTGGAATAAATTTATGTTGGCACGACTACACAAGCACATGAACGAGGGATGCTGGGAATTTTAATTCAAAATTTTTTCTTTTTTTTTTTTTCTTTTACTAACAAAAGAAAAAGAGTATCTAAATGAAATTGGTTAGAAAAAATTTTTTTTATTTAAAATTCCCAATATTCCTCATTTATGCGCATGTGCAGTTGCACCAACACAACAAATTTACCCCAATGATGTCCTAAAGGACAAAATGCATCTTAAGAAAATTTTTCCCACTTTGTCATATAATTTCTCCCATATATATATATATATATATATATATATATATAAGGAATTTTTTTTTTTTTTAATTTGCCAACACATTTCATCCTTTGATAGACTTTGTCAAGAGGTAAAGTCTATCAGGGGATGAAACACATTCTTAAAGAAAAATTATTCATATTGTCTACTTATAGATATATTTTATTTATATCTTTATTTTTACATATATATGTATTCATTCACCTCTGTAATTAACAAAATACACACACACACAGACATAAGTGTTTGTGACTTTATATTTATTAAAAAAAAAATCTGTTGAGCGACTTACTTACAAGGTCAGTTAATTTTATATGAAAATGATGCAATGATCTAGCGTAGATATATATCGTGCAATGTGACATGTCAGTAAGAAATTCCTCAATAGCACACATTTCTTAAACAAATGCATTTTAAACCCAGAAACATTTGCAGTGTGCAATAGAAAAATGTTGGAGAAATATTTAAAAAGGTGCCGTGGAATCCAAGCAGGAGTTGTGTGTTTAAAAGGAAGCATGCAAAATATTTTTTTCTTATACATTCCCTAAGTCAGTGATAGCATCAAAATAGGGAAAAATATTCTCTGCCTACAAAGGAGGGGGGGGGGGAGAAAAAATTAAAGGGATACAACTCTGCATTTGTCCCACCCGTATAAATCTATGTGAGTTAATTCCCTTTAACTATACCATCCTAGTGTTTTCATTGCATATGTTCTCACATTACAAATGATATTAATCCAAAAGATATATACAAAACAAAACACAAAGAGTCATAAAAATGGATAAATAAAAATACAATAAGTACCAAAAATAAGTACAAACACATTTTGCAATAATATATTTTATCAAATAAAGATAAAGGTTCTAAAAACTCAATACATTAATTTAGGTGTTTTATAAGAAAGTCACTGTATTTAGGGAGTAATATTTGGTATCTGCTATTGACAGTTTAATTTTTTGATAAAATATGGTAGCAGTAAATTTGAGGAGAAAAAAAAAACAATCTTTGGTATATTTTTATTTATTTATTTTTTTAATTTTTTTTGTGCGTGGCAAGGGAAAAAGGATAAAAAAAAGAGAAAGCATAAAAGAATGGCTGGTAATTTTCAAGTGTGTAAGTCAAGAGTAGTGCATTAGGTGAGACGGAAATGGAAATTGTGTTTACAATCTAACATTGTGAGGCTAAAGATAATGTTCTTTTTTTTGTTTGCTTTTTTTTTCCATATTCTATTGGGGAAAGAACTCAAATTCTCTTTTCATAATGACAATTAACAAAATGTTTATAGTTGAAAGAAATAAGATAATATTTACTTTGATCTCTTTCAACTTTTTTTAAAAGCTAAACACCGGTTACATATTTGGTTGTTTAAATTTAGCTTAGCAGGATTGACAGCAAAAATGTGGGCTCATTTCACTCTCTCCTCCTTTTCTCATTATCTCTTAAATATACAGTTTTGTGTGGTTAGAATAAAAGCAATTGGTACAAAACTTGACATTAGCCTCATGATTAATCTAAAATATTATCCTTTTCATTTTCCAATATTGTTTGTAATATTCTTTAGTTAGTAAATGCACAGAAAAGTTCTAATCTATTATCAAAACCTAAGTATAATATATATAAATTATAAATTCTGTTTCCTGAGGCATTCAAACTGTTGAACTCATTCTTTGTGTTGCTTTTGATGTTACCATATCATTTTACCAAATCTATTTTATAACCTCTTTCAATATGCAGTTCATAGAGAGTGATCTCTTTTCTCTTCAGAAAATAGTGACTAATATACTGAACAACTCTTAAAGAAGGTGGTTCTATATATTGGATCAGCCTCTAAAAACATAACACAAAAAGTTCAGAAGTCTAAACAACTCTTGAAATAATAATGACTTTTCTCAAAATGATATAGATTCTAATTGTTAATTCTTTTTTGAAGGACGAATGGCAATCTCCATAATTAAAGCATTATTTGTTAGACACAAGGGATATATCAAAATTAAATTTACTTCACATTAGAGCAGGTTTGAATTCACCTAAATTATAACTTTAGAATAATGATTATTATTTTAAAAAATAAAAATATTTCTATAATTAAAATACATAACTACTATTTATTGTAATTGCAATTACAATGGCTGCATTTTTACAGAGAATATGTGTTGTTTTTGGCATTCAGTGTATTAGTGGCCATCTTGCTCATTAAAATTTATATTGCCAACAAACATGTATTACAAACATTATTTAATATGAGGAAAACTAGTAAGTTTAATAACTTACTGAAGATGTTATTTTAATTTTTTATTGCTACGTTTTTAAAATCTATAACAAAATAAACACTGATAGATTTTAATGCAAATATAATCCTTATTTTTAATTCTCAAAATATGACAATTTTTATCTTTATTTTCAATAAAAACAAATGAATAAACTCATATGTTGGTTTGCTAAAGTTAACAAGAATTTCTGAAAGCATCCCATAATCTAGAATGACATATACCTTATAAATGTCATTGTATAAACTTGATTTCTTAACACATTATTGAATATGTTTTGAATATCCACATTTTGAGGTTTATAATATCAAAACACCTTTTGAACTTAGGTTTTTGAAAGGAAAATTTTCAGATCTTTATAAGTGTTAAATGATATGGTATGTTTTTTGTTTTTAATTATTTCTTTATATTAAATTAAATTGTTTCTAATTATAACAGCAAGAAATTCTGTAAGCAGTTTATAGAATAAATATTTCTAGCATTTGTTTGAATAAATTATATTATAAAATTGGATGCATCTAGCCTAGGATAATATTCAAAGCTTCATTGCTGTTGATTGGTTTACTTTTATTTATATATTAACATAATTTGCAGTTCAAAATTGCTTGAAAAGAAATGATACATAAACTGTCATTACCATTTTCCCATATATAAACTTAAAGACACACTGACAAACAGTATGCAGGAACTTTATATTCACAAATCCAATCCATGTACATTTAACCTTAAATTCTATTTAATTAACAAAAGGAAGTAAACAAATTAATTTTGCTGATGCAAGTGTTGTAGAAATTAATTTTTTCTCATGTCCTTACTGATAAAAGCTCTAATACCAAATCTGAAGAAGTTATTCATTTTGCTGCCTTGATTTGCATAAGAGAAAATGGGGCTGTAATAGAAATCTAGTAAATAGTAGTATTAAGTGCTGTAGCCAGAGATCGAGCTGTTTTATATATATATATATATATATATATATATAAAACTAAAGGAGCAATAAAGGTGGAGGTAAGATTAGCAGTGGTGATGGTAATAATAGTAGTAATATTAAGAGAAGATATAGTGCCTTTTCTTCTTTTTTTGATAAAAAATTTAACAGAAAAGATAGTGGTGTGATGCCCTCAAGGTCATATGTCCTGAAAATGCAGTATCCAGCCATGTTGGATTGAATGTCTTTTTTTTCTTTTTTTTATTATCTTTTTATATTTTTTGTTGATTGTTCTTTAATTCTCCATTTTTTTTTTTTTTTGTTTCTTTTTGTTGTTTTTACATATACATTTTTAAATTAACTTTGCTGGATTTAAAAAAAAAATGAATTCTCTTTTGCATTCTTCTTTTGTTGTGGGCTTTTAAAATTTTTGCTTCTTTATCTCTTTCCTTCCTTCTTTCCTTTCTTTCTTTCTTCAAAAACAAGTTCAAACAACAGTATTTTTTTTTTTTTTTTTTTTTTAATGGGAAGAATTCAATGAAGATGACAATGCTTGATCCGTTACGCGGGAAATACATCAGAGTCGACCCCCATCATAGAGAGTAAGGGCTTGGATAATCGTTGGGTCCTTCTTGGAGCCCTCCAGGAATTCGTCGAATGTTAGGCGGTCGTCCTTGTTCTAGATAAAGAAAAAATATGGTAGGGGAAAAGGAGGAGATATTCAAGTTAAAAAAAATAAATTAAAAAAATGAATGAGAAAAATGGGGTGGAATAGAAGAAAGAAAAAAAAAAGGAATCATTTTTCAAAAGAAATCTTTTAGAAAGTAAATTAAAAATTATAATGTCAAGAAACATTGGGACATTTTGATTCATACATTTTTTCTAAGACTGAGGTGGGAATAAAGAAAGAAAAACTGGTTGAAGGAGAAAAACAAAGGAATTTTGAAGTTAACATTTTGGGTTTTTGCCAAAGAAAATGTAATTAAAATGAATTGAAAATATCTTTAAATTAGAAAATAGAAATAATTAAAAACTAAAAGAAACAAATTGTTTAAATATTTTTTAAAATGTTAAAAGCAAAAAAGTAAGTAAAATTTTAAATCGTAATTTTTTGGCAAAGAAAATGTTAAAAAGGTAATCTAAGAAATAAAATTAATTTAAAACATTTTTTAAATTAGAAAATAAAATTACAATAAATTAAAAATAAAATAAATGTAAACCAAATAATCCATTTTTCAAGAGGAGTTAAAACAAAAAAGAACTGAAATAAAATTAAAAAAAATGTAATTAAAAATATAAATAAAAATATAAAAAAACCCAAAGCAATCATGCAACATGTAAATAAAAAAAAATAGCTTTTTATTTTCATTTTATACAGGTTTTTTTTCTCCCTCAAACTCAATATAAACAGTTCTGAAAGATCCCAAAGCAGATATTTATTTAAACAAACATTTCCAAAACTGTATAATGAAACTATAATAAAAGGGAGAAAAATTATAAGGTGGATTCAAAAAACAAAACTGCGATTTTACAATTATACAGCATTTAAGCTGACATAAACGTCTAAATAATAATAAAAGAAAAAAAAAGATAGAAAATTCTAGAAAATACCCCAAAATAAAACATAGAATTAAATATACTCTTTGTTCTACCAAGAAAAGTTTTACAGTAAAATCTTCAAAAACATTTATTCACTGCAAACAGAAAAAATAATTCATGAAGTCATTTGTAAATTACCATTCATAGTAAAAGACTTAATGTAAAATACAAATGTTTTATAAGAAATATGCTTTCCAAGGGTTAATATTTATTTACCAGCACTTATTTATAATACCAACTCATGGAATTCAAATAATGCTAATAAAACAGAATCCATGCATATTTTACAGTGTGTTTGTTTCTTGGTCTTTATTCCTCAGCTCATTGAAATTTTTACACCCTAAACAGTTCTTGACACTTTGTAGAATATGTATGATTATTATTTCTTTTATATCACTTTACTTCTGGCATAATTATCTCGTTTTTGAAATAATTATCATTTTATTATAAGGGAAGGTTCAGAACTATATCTTGATTGAAAGACAAAACTAGCACCGATAATCTTTCAAGATCATTAAAAAGATTCAGATAATAACATCAAATACTTGTTTGGAACTACAACAGAAAGAAAGTCAAGAAGGAAAAGAAATGTTTGTTTGTGGCTTCCATTCCTCTCCATTAAAATATACTTAATTGCTATTATTATTATTATTTTTGTAAATCTCAAAGACACTATTAAATAAAATTGTAACAGTTTAAGTATTAAAGTACTTTTTCTAAGTGTTTAAAACATTTGTTGGGTTAACTCTTTCTAATTTTCAAAACTGTTCCTAAGGGATACTCTCAGGACTATAAATACTCTGCAATAATTTTTATCATTCTCTTCTCAACTTATCAGCTCATTCGTTAACATGTATCCATTTGTGGAGAATGCGTTCCCTCTGATAAACGCATGAACAATACATATATAGACACACACACACATATATATATGCACAATCATCACTACACATGCTTTGCAACCAAAAAGTTTTTACATTCATTTGTTACACATATTATTGTCTTTCTCACTTGTATATATTTGTTGTTAATACACTGTTATATATATATATATATATATATATATATATATATATAAAGGTCTTATCATTTTTTTTTCTTTTTATTTTTTTTTTTTTTTAAGTGGACTCACATCCCCTTGTGCACCATGTTTGTTGTGCGTATTTCAGGAGAGACGCGTGTTTATCTCTCAATGCATACTCCAGCCCGCAACAAGTTGATCACCAAGGGACAAAGACAATAATGTGTGTAACAAATGAATGTGAAAACTTTTTGGGTGCAAAGCATGTGTAGTGAGTGAATGTGCATATGTACATGTGTGTATGTTACTATATATGTAATGTTCATACATTTCCAGGAGGAAATGCATTCTCCACAAGAGGTTACATGTTGACAAATAAGGTGAGAAGAGAATGGTAAAAAAAATTTATTGCAGAGTATTTATAGTCTTGAGAACGTCCCCTAGGAGCAGTTTCAAAAAATTTACCCCAACATATTGGCTGCCACCATGAGATAACTGCAGTGGTTGGTAGTTTTTATTTTGACACTATATAATGACTTATCTTGCTTTTATGGTTTTGCCATCAAGCCAATGACCACTCATTTTTGTAAATGTTTTAATTGCAAATAATGTGTACTTGGCATCTGAGGCATTATTTTTGTTTTTTTAATTATTTCACTGCAAACAGGTGAATAAAGTCACTAAGATGCACAGGGTGTGAGAATAGAGGAAAATAAAAACATTATTAAGGAGAGAGAACAACAATAGGACAAGAATTAAAACGACAGAAGATAACAATTAACATTACATTTAAATTTTTGAAGATCAAAATTGGCTGGGAAGCAAGAAGCCAGAAGAGAGTTCTATAAGTGAGAAGTGTGAGAGAAGAAAATGTTAGCATAAAACTTATGGTTACATCTGGCAATTTCAACTGTAAAAATGATGAGATCTTGCCACCAATCTAGTACTGTACTTAAATTCATAACATCTAGGCATGAAAAAGGAAAGTTCATCAGAACAATTATAATGAAAATATTTATAAAAGCTTACAAGGAATCTACATTATGGCAGTGGAAAAGTGACTGAAACCAAGATGTCAGGTCAGGATCAATAACATTGCTGATTCTTCTTTTTATTTTATCAAGAATTTCTAAATGTAAATCAGAAGCACCAGACAAGATGTGGCAGCAATATTCAATGTCCAGATGAATAGTAGGTTTATAAATGTGCAAGATGGATTCTGGTGAGAAAAATTATCTGGCACAACACAGTGAACCAACTTTGCTAGCAGTAGACGTAGCAATTGATTCAATACAATCATTCCTCTTCATGTCAGTGGAAAACACAAACCCAAGAAGGTACAAATACTTCTTTAAGATGATTAAAATGGTCACAGTTTCATTTTGGAGGCATTAAAATTTACAAGCCGATTAAAAAGGTCATTTTCGAGATCAGCTGCCAGTTTTACTTTGTCGGACATATCAGACTTGCTATTAAAACAGGAGTAAATAGTTGTGTCATCAGCATAAATATAGAGTTGGGATCAGGTGACATTGAAAAATTTGTTGATAAAGCTAAGAAAAAGTAGATTTATGAAAAGCTGTGAAGTATTGGGATACAGTTCATGAAAACATTTATTTATATTCAAGGCAATAATGTCAAGACAAAAGGGGTTGTTACTGAGAATGAAAGAAAAATATTTGTGAGAGGAAAGGACAATAAGAGACTAGAATTCAGGAAGACAGAAGATGGCAAATGATGCTGCATTAAATTTTTGAAGATCATAGGTGTCAAGGAAACAAGCCAAGAGTTCCACAGGCAAGAAAAATTATTAGAATAAAACTTATTACTTATAGCTATTTCAACAGGGAAACAATGAGACCTACTTGCCAATCTAGTACTATGCTTAAATTTATGTGTTCAAGGTACCAACAAGGAAATCTCATTAAAACCATTACCATGGAAATGAAAGCCAAGTTATAGTGGTAGGAAAATAACTGAAACAGGACCAATAACATTACAAACCCTTCTTTGGATTTTTAAGATATATAGCAGGATCACCAGACCGGATATGGCAGCAATATTCAATGTCCAGATGAATAGTAGGTTTATAAATGTGCAAGATGGATTCTGGTGAGAAAAATTATCTGGCACAACACAGTGAACCAACTTTCCTAGCAGTAGATGTAGCAATTGATTCAATATAATCTTTCTAGTTCATGTCAGTGGAAAAATGTTAGCCCAAGTGTAGGTATAAGGGGTCACTCTCTTGGAGTTTAGCATTAACCATGATCATACATGAATGAAAACCAGACTGGCAACTAATAAAAAAACTTTTTATGGAAAAAATTTATTGATAATATAACACAAATTAAGTATTTGAAAAAAATTGTTTTTAAGTTGGCTATTATAAAGTTGGGATTTGAAGTCAGACTTCATAACTGTCCTCTGGGAGTCAGTGTATTGAAAATCATTTACTTAGTGTAAGGAGATGAAAAAAAAAAAATACTAATGTTAGAATTTTTAGGAACTAGGCTAGCATCTCGCTCTCACCCTTTCACTGTCGAAACTGTTAAATGTAGCCGTCTCTTCTACTCCAATAGCTTCATGTCTTGCACTTCTCGCCAGTGAAACTCCCTCCCTTTTTCCTGTTTACCTGATAGCTATAATCTTCAAATATTGAAATGTAATGTCACTCATCATCTCCAGATGCCTTGATCTATCCCCTATCCTTCTCTTCATCCTTTCCTCTATCACTCCTATTTGCTCTCGCTCCAACTCTCTGTAACCCCTTCCGTGCTAGTGGCTTCCCGTCTTGATTGGGCTGAAACGCTTTAAAAAAAAACAAAAAAACCCCTAAAATATTTCCAAACAGTAAAACAAATTAGCACAAAATTCCCCCCCCCTCCAAATTACTTGTACCCAGTGGAATCAGTGCAACTTCATTAAGAAAAAAATAATAATGAGGTCTTTGGAAATGGAAACAGTGACAGACAGTGCCACAAGATCTAAAATTTGATCCTCTTTTTATTTCTTTTTCTTCTCATGTTGGGGGAGAACACCAGCTATATATTGCACAA